ATGTTTCATCGGTGCTATACTGCACTCTGACTGGTTCATCTCTTCCTTGTGACCTTTTTGTGAGGGGATGGTCAATTGTCTACAAATGGGCTTTGGGTCTCCACTCCACCCTAAGATAGGTAAGGTAGACTCTTTTATTTTGGTTGGTTTTTAAACTTGAGATTGAGAGCCAACGTGTTTTGGGACAATGACTTTTAAGATTCTTTAAAGTCCTTCCGCCTAAATGACAGGGCCCAAGATTCATAGAATCCTTTTACCTAACAAAGAAAGTCTGAAAGGAACACCCTTTAAGATTCTAAGAAGTCCACCCAGACTTGACTTTTGTTAAAGTCCAAAGTCTGGAGACCATATTACATGTCCACACTCCAGGGACTTTGTGCTCTACAGCCGTGCTTTACGGGCTGACCCTGAGTTTCCTATGTGCCCTGTGGTCATTCCTAACACTAAGAGGTTTGGGGAGAGAATGGGTATGATGTTCAGTTTTATTTTTAACACCAAACAAAGCTCACCTTGCCTTCTTTATAGCTCCTCTAAGTCCTGCTTAAAGGTAGAAGCCGTTGTCTAATAATCTTTCACTATGCATACCTTCCAGACATGGTTAAAATAGTCCACCCCTTTTAACCTTCTGCCTGGAAATCTCTTTAACCAAGTCTGCCACTGTAATGGGTATACTTTCCTCTTTTTTCCATGTTACATCAAGCAACAGGGTTGCAACATTTCTCCCGCCAGGTAAAGCAGGGCGGGTGCCACTTCTCTGTCCTCCAGTAGCATTTTCCTTACTGCTCTTCAAGCAGTCACCGGCAGCTTTAAGACCCTTCTAGTTTCTTCTCTCCCTGTGGTCCCCAAGTCAGTGTTACATCTTTTAGGATTTTTACTACAGGAGCCCTCTTTTCTGTGCTACAAACCAGTTACAGTTTTCTAATGCTGGGTGACCAATTAACTCAAAACTTATCATCCTAGAACAGCAGTTTATTACAGCTCACACTTTGAGGGGCAGAGGAAAGAACAGAGCCCAGATGGTGGTTCTTCCACTGCATGTGGCAGCCCCTGAGGTCACTTCGTGGCAGGACGCGTGGACTTGAAGGATCTGTTTGGAGGGTCCAAGGCGGCTATAGTCACATTTCTGGCTCCTTGACTGGAACCGGTGGAAGGCATTACACACCCGCCACACAGTGAGCACAGACATGCCAACGGGGATGGCACGGGACGGGGCAGTGCTTCCTTTTAGTCACTGGGTTGCCATGACTCAGAGCTGCCTCAGCTGCCACCACCAACAAATGGACTGCACGCTCCCGTTTAACCATGTGAGAGTGGGTTAAGAAGAATACAACAGTGTGTGACTAACGCAGACCCATAAAAAGTACATGGGAAGAAAAGCAAAAGGCACATGAGGTGGCTTCCACAAGTTCATGGACAAAATGGAATGAAAAGATAAGGGCATTTTCCCGTGAACTTTTTGAGACTGTCCTCATGATGTACAAACATGAGCCTAAATCAATAAAACCCTCAGTGTGATTATTTTAATATCAAAGTCTGTAAGGGAGGAAAGATCAAGGTGGCATTAACAGGCATATTTTTGACTATCAATAAAATTGATCTTGACATGATATTTTTATCCAACTTGGCCTATTGGTTATTTATAGAGCTCTGTTCCCAACAACTGCAGAATGCACATTCTTTTCAAGTGCTCGTGAACTAGACCAAAATAGACTGTGCATCAAGCACAAGGGAAAGTCTCAACCAATGGCAAAGGAATCAACTCACATAGTATGTGCTCCACTTTGGAACTAGATTAGAAATAAGTAACCCAGCCCACGGCCAGCGAACCAGTTCTGGTTCATCGCAACTGTTTATAGCATCTCCAGGCCTGTAAATCTTAGTGGGAGCAGACAGCCTCATCTTTCTCCTGCAGAGCAGCTGTTGAGTTTGAACCAGCGCTGGTTAGCAACCCATCACTTACCTGGCAGCACCACTCTAATTCCTAAAATAACAGAGGACTTGGAAATCCTCACTTTTCCTGGCGAATAAGCAATACACTTTGAAATAATTCATGGGTCCAAGAATGGCTCTCAACCAACACTAGAAACTGCTTTTAACGGAATGAAAATGATAACGTAGCATGTTCAGACTTGTGAGGCCCCGCTATGGCAGTGCTTAGAACTATCTAGCCTTAAATGTAGGTAATTTAGGGGGAAGGTTGAAAATTAGTGATCTCATATTCTGTCTCCAAAAGCTAGAAAAAGAATCCTTCCAGTAAATACAAATAAACTAGAAAGAAGGTGATAAGAGTGGGCATGCAGTAGAAAAGATCAGTAAGGCCAATGCAGGTCTTCAGACTGGTTTGGAGTGGCTCAGCCGTGGCTGAGGAGAACGGGGGCAGTGGACACATTGCAGAGCGACCAGATCTTGCATGTGTGAGATTTGACCCAAGGAGGAAATAGGCCACTGTAGCTCTGCTCAAAGAGGGTGGCTGACTGTGCTGCCTTGAACATGTGCTGACGATGTAGATGCCCACCCTCTTTGAGCAGAGCACCTCTGTTTATTTCCCATTTGATGGTTGTGTTAGTCTGGGTAGACAAGAAAAACAAATTCATAGACATTCATGTGCGTAGGAAAGAGCTTTATATAAAGAATAATTGTACATAAAGAAAGCATCCCAGCCCAGTCCAGGTCAAGTCCATAAGTCCATAGTAGCCCATGTGTCTGATACCAATCTATAAATTCCTCTTCAGACTCATGAAATACATGCAGTGACGCTGAATGGCTGAATGGAAGAAGATCACAGCCAGTGGGTGGAAAGTCTGTGGATCCAGTGGCGGTAGAGGCATCTCAGTGCTGGCAGGGGTCTCCATATGGCTCTTTCAGCTCCAGGGCTCTTGAGTAGTTCCATGTGTCCTGTGAACAGGAATGTCTCGCAGGGAGTTAACGTGTCCCGCCTCCAGCGAGCTATTTATCTCCAAATGAGGTCATCAAGCTGTGACCTGATTGACAGGCTAAACCCCACTCCTTCATTCTTAAGTCTCAAATTGACAACAGATGATATAACTACCACAGTGGCTTTGCCACCAATTTGTACCCTTGTTTCCCTCAACTGTGACTGAATTGTTTTGAACCAATTCGAAGTGCCATGCCTAAGATATTTCAAACTGGAAACCCTCACCAAAAGTTGTTTCTTCCAAAACATTAATAGACTTTCCCATCCCCTGCTGTTGTTGTGAGGTGCCGTCCTGTCTGTCTCAGCTCGTTGGGACCCTGTGTACAACGGAACAAAAACCACTGCCCCATCCTTTACCATCCTCACAATTGTGAGAATCTCTGAGCCCATTGTTGTAGTCACTGTGTCAGTCCATCTTATCCAGGGTCTTCCTATTTGTCGCTGCCTTTCTACTTGACCAAACATGGTGTCCTTTTCCAGGGACTGATCTCTCCTGATGACATGTCCTTAGTAGATGAGACCAAGTTTCACTATCTTTGCTTCCAAGGCACGTCCTGGCTTACTTTCTCCAAGTCCAATTTGTTAATTCTCTTGACAGACCATGATACAGTATTCCCAGCAGCACCATCATTCAAATGCATCGATTCTTCTTCAGTCTTTATTCAGTAAACCCCTAGAAAGGGGGAAAAGAGAGAGAGAGAGAAATAGACATTACAAATATAGAAATAAATAGGGAATGCTACTGGAGATCTAGGAAATGTTTTAAAAGTTAAAAAAACATTATGAATGGCTTTATGTCGATACAATTGAGAAAACTTAGATACAATGGATGAATTCCTTGGGAACAAGATGCAACTTATCAAAATGAACCAGAAGGAAGTGAAGTGTTTAAATAGTCCTATGTTTGTGAAAGCCATTTGATTGACATGATGTGCTTCCTTGGCACTGTGCGGATTAAGGGGAGACTGCCCGTGGTCTGGGGCAAGCAAGTTGTCAGAGAACCCTAGACCATGTGACAAATGTAACCAGTCCTCTTCCCTCTCTCACCAAACAGATATGTAAGAAAGAGAGAGAGAGAGACAAAGGATGATGTTTTGCTACCGCTCTCCTCGGTGCCGCGCTATTCTCATTAGCCCCTCTTTTCCCAAGTGTTTGTACCTACCCTCTCCAGATGGGACCACCGCAAGTCCACCTGCCCCTGCTGACCTGCATCTGCTTCTTTCCCTGTGTTCTCTAGACCCCCTCGATGGTTGACTGTTCTTATAACTTTGATCTCTTCCTGGAATCCTTTCTCCTCTCGTCCCCAGAGATTAAGCTTGGCTTTCTGAGTACTTTTTTTTCTGAATATGCCATTTTAAAAAAATGAATACTATTTTTTAAGTTTGAACAACCACCTTAAAAACAAAACAAAATAAAACAACATTGAATTTCTTGAAGGCGGGTTGACAGACACCGCTGTTCTCCCCGACAATGCAGGGTGCCCTTTTCTCTCCACGGTTCCTTTTCCTCTCGTCTTAATTGTTAGCACTGGTTGACTTCGAGGAAACTGTTCCGGCTTCCTCAGCGGTGCAGCTTTCATTGGGATTTTCAGTTTAAGTCCTTGTATGATTTTTCTAAACAACGGGTATCTTCCTGATGATTAAAAGAAGATGTTTAGCAGTCAACTAGCACTTAGGCCCAGTGTGTTTTCTAACCATTCATTCAAAACCCAGCTTTCAAAGGTTGTTCTAAGCAGTTATAACTAGTGTCAGGGCTAAGGCAGAGTTGTAGCCTTTCACCAGGAGCTCTCAGTGTTTACGGATCTCCGAACAATTCTGGTTGATGGACCCGAGGAAGTTGAAAACAAAAATAAACAGAAACGAAAACTCAAAAGCATGGATTTTGCAGAAAGTGTGTGCCATCCCACGGCCTGAGGTAGAGATGGCCACAACAACAATATAAACGATGTCCATTTTATAGGACTCTGTCTCTCTCATTTATCATCTGTAAAGCATTATTATCTGTGGCTTCAAAAGCTACCCATCACACCTTTGAATTTCATTATCTTTGTCTCATTTGCTTTTAGATATAGACGAATGCCATCCCTCATCCAATACTGAAGCTTTAACCTTTGAGAGAACATTTGCCAAATAAAACCACAAGTAAGTCTGCTCACATCCACGTTAGCACCAACTTAAGAGTGCTTTGAGATATAAACAGTTAAGCCCCATTTGGGTGACCAAGGAGCCCTGGTGGCTCAGTCATTACGCAAAGTTAGCAGTTTGAAGTCACCAGCAGGGAAAGATGGGACTTTCTACTCCTGGAACCTGTTACAGTCTCAGAAACTCACAGGGGCAGTTTTACCCTGTCCTGTGGTGTCGCTGTAGCCAGTATTGACTTGGTGGCGTTGAGCAGGGTTACGAGTTGGCCTGCTAGCCCAGGTCTGCGTTTGAAACCACCAGCTGCTCTGCAGGAGAGAGATGCAGCTGTCTCCTGCTGTCAAGATTGACAGTCTTGGAAGCCCACAGGAGCAGGCAGTTCTGCTATCGTCTACAGAGCTGCTGTGAGTGGGAGAGGACTTAATGACAGTGAGAATGAGCGTACGTTTTGAACCATTGGTCTTAGAAAATCGTGGAAGTATGATTATTGAATCTCTTAGAGTTTATATAATAAAGTAATGTGTAAGCTGCCGGAAGTTTATTTTTTTTACCGGAAGTATTTTTAAAATCAAAACAAACATTTTAAAACCAATCCACTTATTTTTATCAGTTCTAGTGCCTATGTGTTCTGCTGAAGGCTTTTAAAATAGTTTTATCCATTGCAACTGTTATTTGGATTTTCTGTTTTAAAAGTTCAAGTAATGTTTTCTACTGATTTTCTGTCTCTTGATAATTAAGGGAAGATTTTAGTAATCAACTAGCACTTTAACTTGAAATGTTTAATAACCACTTATGCATAAACGTAACTTTAAAAGGTGATTTTAACCAGCTTCCAGTACTATAATAATTACGAGAGGGTTGTATTCTTTCACCTTATTTATTCAACCTGTATGCTGAGCATATCATCCGAGGAGGTGGACGATATGAGTGTGAAGTATGTGGATTCAGGGTTGGAGAAAGACTCATTAACAGCCTGCAGTACGCAGGTGAGACGAGGTGGCTGGCCCTCAAGGAAGCCACGTCCTGATAAAAAGGCCGAGACTGCGGCCTTCTTTATGGACCGTGCGAGAGCAAGATTCCTCCCAGCTCAGCCAGTCATGATACTCTCAGGATAAATGAAGAAGGCGAAGTTATTGATGATTTTGACACTTGGATCACCATTCAACATCTATGGGAGCAGCAGTCAAGAAGTCAAGTGACATGTACTGAATTGGGCAAATCTGCAAAAGCCCTCTTCGAGTTTTAAAAAACCACGATGTCACTTTGATGACGAAGCCCTGACCCAAGCCCTGCTCTTCAGTCACCTCTGACACAGGCTACAGCCGGACAAGGAAAAAGAAAGAATTGAGCTGTGGTTTTGATAGATAATACTGGATGCACAAACAAACGAGCAAATCCATCTCCAAAGAACTACCAGAATGTTCCTTCGAACTGAGGGTGGTGAGACTTCAGCTAGTTGACTTTGAGATGCATCGTCAGGAAAAACGAATTGCTGGTAAAGGACATAATATCGGGTCAAGTAGAAAGCCTGCAGTAGGACTTCGGGCACCTCAACGAGATTGGCTTACCAAACAGCTGTAGCAGTCAGCTCAAACATACCGGCGCTCATGAAGCTGGTGCGGGAGGAGGCAGCCTTTCACTCTGCTCTGCACACCACCTCTGAGGCAGAGCCACCTCACCAGCACCGCCCCACAGTGGGCTTTCTGTCTTCATTCCCTTTTCTCCATTCTGGATTCTGCTTCCAGGGAAGTCTGCATAAAGAACTAGGACAGTCATTTAAAAACTCTCAAATGGCTCCCCGCTCTTGGTTGGATGGAACGTATATTTCTTCATCCGCATACTCCAAACCAGACGTATTGCCATCAACTTGATTCCGACTCATGGCAACTCTACAGGACACGGTAGAAGCGCCCCTGGAGGGCTCCAAGACGGCAGCTCTTGGTGGGAGGAGAGAGCTCAATCTTAGGCCCACAGAGTGGCTGGTGGTTTCCAACTGCTGACCTTGCACTTGGCAACCCAGCTCATAACCACTATGCCACTAAAGCACCCTCCAAAGCTCTTCAAAATACCCCCCCCCCCCACTTTCGCCAACTAAAGTCTTCCCTTTCCAGAACTATTCTTGTTCCTCGGGCCTCTCTGTCACACCTTCTGTGTTTCTTATCCTCTGTGTGGCTGCCCTGCCCTCCCTCACTGTCTGGGCTGCCTTTTGAAGTCCTGCAAGCCTTAGTCCAGCTGCAAGTTCTTTCACAAAGCCCTCCCTGGTCACTCCAGCTTGAACATAGGTTCCCAAACTTACCTGCCCTACTGTCCCTTTTTCATGGGGGAAAAAGAAAGTACTCAGCGTCCTGCTGGATATTAAAGCCTTTCGGTATCAAAGCCCGTAATCTCGGATAAAGTATGGGCATCTGAATTTGCAGCCCCCTCTGGTTCATTCCAGTGCCCTCCCTTGGGAAGTAGGATTACCCACTTTAGGAAACACTGAGCTAGAAGCATCAGCTCTTTCTCTCTCTGCTCATTTCATCTGAGTTCGTTTGTATAACCCTTAAAGGAGCAGCCCCGATGGTGCTGTGGGGTAAGTGTTAGGCTGAGAGCCATGAGGTTAGCGGTTCAAACCCACCAACAGCTCCACTGGGGAAAGATGCAGTGGTCTGCTTCTGTAAAGACGGACTGGCTTGGAAACCCCATGAAACAGTTCTATTCCATCCAAGAGGGTTTCTGTGAGTCTAAATTGATTCAGTGGTGGTGGGTTTCGCTTTGTTGATGGCATTTTGCTCTGGGTCTGTGTTGTTAGTGTTTATGTCTGTCTGCTCTCACCCCAGGTCGAAGACAAGAAAGTCAAAGGGTCTTGTCTGACTGACTTTTGTCTCCTCCGGCATTCAGTATAGCCTTTAAAAGTGCTTAGTAAATACTTGTTTGATTAGTCAAGGCTGGGCCTGCCTTTTCCTACCTCCTTCCCTCTGCTTTTCACCTTGTAGACACATGTAATGCCTGGTGCCAGGCTGTGCACCCCTGGCAGGCCTTCCCCGGGCCATCTTAGCCTAGGAAAATACTGCCCATCCTGTAATTACAGGATACAGTCAGTTCCCAACCTAAGACATACACTGTACTCCTGAGGTTCCAGTCTAATTCTGCCGATTGGAACACAGAGGGCATTTTCCACAAAAGCGGTGTTCTGAATAGTGGTGATGTTCTCAGCCAGCCCTCCCAAGACTCTTTAACTCGTAAGGTGCCAGTGCTACTTCAACGGCAGGCAGCCTCCATGCAGAATGTTCTTCTGTGGAGAAATTCTGGCTCTGGTGAGTTGAGAAACACATCTCCCATGGCCTGGGCTGCTTGGTCAGTAGGAGGGCCTGAGCTGGGGTTCTGCCCATGCATCAACAGACAGGGGACTCTGACATCACCCCCTCTTTAGCTTTAGGTTTTTGTGTACGAGAAGCTTAAGCCCAAGTCACCAATCCTCTCGTGTTTTCTAAGTTCAGGGTACGAGTCACTTGCTCTTTTTTTGACCCCCATCCCACAGTGGATCAGAGGCGTGGCATTTTCATTGACTTCACGGGCATGTGAAAGAAAGCTGGGCAGTGAAGAAGGACGACAGGAAGAACAGAGGTCTTTGAATTGCAGTGTTGGCGAAGAATATTGACTATACCAGGGACTGCCAGAACGAACAGCATCTGCCTTGGAGAGAGAAATACAGCCTGACTGCTCCTTGGAAGCCAGCGTGGCGAGACTTTGTCTCGTGTACTTTGGACATGTTCTCGGAAGGAACCAGTCCCTGGAGACCAAGACATCCTGTGTGATAAAGCGGAGGGTCAGCAGAAAAGAGGGAGACCCTCAAGGACATAGTTCCAGTTGACATCGTGGCTGCCTTGGGGGGCTCACCCACACAGTTGTGAGGTTGGTGCAGGACCAGCCAGTGCCTCAGGCTTCAGGTCACTATGAACTGGAGCTGATACCACCACCGAGTGTTAGGGTGGCACATGGCTTCAGCCACCTTCACGTGTCTGGGTCATCCTAAATCAGGTATTAAAGATCAGGGGCTATATTACTACTTCCTTATGTCTGCTATTCTACAGATTGTTGAAACTAGAGTATGTAAACACACTAGAGTATGTAGAGTACTTCCATCTGTAGGGGAAACCATATTTATAGGTGATAACCTGTATATTTAGCATCACCTACATTTTTGTGGGCCAATGAACATCATTTCAACGTGGGCTTAATGCTGCTTCCAGAGAAGGACACATTCATTCACAGGTAATCAACCCTGGATTTTCATAGTCTGTGTTGTCATATTGCTCAGGCAGCATCATAATTAAGAAAAAAACATTATAAAATTCCGAGCATTTCATTTACTGATTCAACAAAAGTATTGGACACAAACATGAGTGCTTTCTTTACCTTAAACTGTCTTAGATGCTGAAGGTAAGGAGCAGGAACATTGGCTTTCTCCTCCAGGAACTGGAAATGTAGGGAGTGAGGTATTGAAGAGGTCATCACAGTATAAACAATAAGTTATTAGTTGCCAATATACATCATGACAGTTATAGAAGCTTTCAGGATTAACAGAATGGCAATATCCTTATGCCTCCCCGTAGTTGGAAAGAGAGTGGTGCTAATAAAGAGCTCAGAGAAGAAATTATATTCTCAGCTATATTTTTAAACTCCCCTACTGACATTGACTTGAATCTGACTCAAAGTGACCCTGTAGGACAGAGTGGCAATGTCCCTGTGGGTATCCAAGGCTATATACATCTTTATGGGAAACAGAAAGCCTCATCTTTCTCCTGTGGAGTGGCTGATGGGCATGAACTGCCGAACTTGTGGCTAAACAGCCCATGGCCAAACCGAGGCTCCTTCAGATAGATTCGTTACATGAAAAGAAGGCCGGAGACACAACCAACAAACAAACATGTGTTACTAGCTGGAGCAGAATGTTCATGTGGGGTGTGACAGTAGGTGGGAAGATGAGACCAGTGGTTCAATCCTGGCAATGAATAAGAGTC